AAACTCATATTTCTACAGCCTCTTGAGTTTTGAACATTTTCAACAAACTGTGTTTGCCAAACTTGATAGATACATGTAAGAAAATGAAACTGGATTCTTATCTCTCTCTCTATACAAAACTCAGTTCCAAACAGAAAAGCACTTTAACATAAGACCTGATAACTGGAATCTTTTTGAGGCAAAAGTAGAGAATATGCTAGAACTCATTGGCACAGGAAAGGATTTGCTGAACAGGTCAAAGTCTCTGAAAGCACAGGTATTATGATGAACAATTGATAAATGGGACTTCATGTAATTCAAAAGCTTCTGTGTAGGATACCACCATCCTGGGATAGTTTTAAACAACTGACTGAACATATAAAGCAAGCCATGATATTTCCCTGAATCTGGTTTCATAGGTTTTACCAGGCATTCATATTTATTCTCATCTTTTCCACTTGTTCTTACACTTTATAGACATCCAATTTTTAATTTCTCCTGTATTTGAGAAATATTTATATTGGTGTTTAGCATTTTCAGGATTTAATAACCATTCTCTATTAACAAGTGAAAGAAAGCATCTCTTAAATTTGTAGGTGTTAGTTTTTGATGAGTTTTTATCTAGTCATTTGAATTTTCTGTATATCCTGAAAAAATATAAATCCAAGTTTGTGACCATAGCTTTAGACTTGCATTTTATGACTGAACTCTTCTTACTGTGTGCCCTTATGTCTTTTAAAAGATGTTCAATCCTAGCTTTTAATTTTGTGCAATACTGCAGTGCTATCACATAAAATGACTCTTTATGTTGCAGCTCCTGGCGTTACACAATAATGTGCCTGTTATTAAGATATATAGAGCTGTGTATCAACATTATTAAATATTCATGGTTTCTCATTATTTCTTTATTATTTAGCATTTATGCCTACTAGGAGACGAGGGACTGTTGCTGCTTAGTCATCACTTAGTTCTTGTCATGGTGCTTTCTGTTTTTTTCTTTCTTTTTCTTTTTTAATCAAATGTCTGAAGCACACAGTTGTGCATCCTTGCATTTGAGATGCAGTCATTCATTAGCATTAACTGAATGCTAAATTTCTTTCTCCTTGAATGTTGTATGTGACCACCCATTGGTGCTGCGAAGCCCTTCCTGTTCTTCCATAGAATGGCTTGAGACCCTGCTTCCCTGCATGTCCACAATGATGCAGATCTTAATATGGTAGTGAATGCATAATATGAAAAAAAAAACCAAAACACTAATGTACTATTTATTAAAATCTCCAGACAATGGAAATTAAAGGTTTTCCCACACTGGTATTATGGTTTTAATTTTAAATGCCCCCAAGGCTTTGTTCTCTATCCCATGGCATCATTCAGAGGTAGATTTTAGGAGATCTATGGTAAGCATTTAGACGATTGGCTTTTAAAGGGGATATTCAAATATTCTCCTTCTCTTAGCCCCGCTTTGTTCTTCTCTCCCTCTGGGTTACATGAGTCAAGCAGCTTTACTGAATTTTTTTTTTTTCATTTTTGTTTTTTCGAGACTGGGTTTCTCTGTGTAGCTTTGTGCCTTTCCTGGATCTCGCTCTGTAGACCAGGCTGGCCTCGAACTCACAGAGATCCGCCTGCCTCTGCCTCCCAAGTGCTGGGATTAAAGGCGTATGCCACCACCACCCGGCTAGTTTTTACTGAACTTTATACTTCCCAGCATGGGGTTGTGCTTCCCCACAGTCCTAAAAAATATCAAAACAAGCCTTCTAGCCATCTATACTGTAGAGTTCTCTGAAACCATGAGGTGACATAAACAAACCTTTGCTCCCTCTGAGGTGAGTATATCAGGCATTTTATCACACTGATAGAAAATTAACCAATGCATATGCCTTTTCTTTTTGATTATTAATGCCTTTTATATTTGTCATATTGGCTTTTGTCTTCAATTATTATGAGTTCATGATGTTTGACAGATTTAAATTGCTTCATGCAGCCATATTGGTTATTGTCTTGTTGAGCCTCAAATTGTCAGATTAGCTTGGTGAAGCCATTCTATTTGCGTTCCTTAACTACCCTTTAAAAACATTCTTGACTTTTAAATTTGTTATTTATTATTATTATTATTATTATTAATGTATTTTAAGACAAACAGTTTCTGTCAACCAGGGATTGTTATAGGAAAGTCCTGTGGTTTTTTCTCTCTCCCTTCTTTCTATCCTCTCTTGTTTTTACTCCATCTTTCCTACTATTTAAAGAAAAATTGTTCTTGTTGATGTTTATGGGGAGACAAATTTCCAATTGATAGTATTCCTCATATGGCTGGATGTGAGTAAAAGCAATGTATTGCTACTGATCTCTTTTATGGAGAGATATAGAAAACTGTCTAGATTTTTAGTTTATGTATTCACCTTTACATCCTTCAGAACATCTCATTTTGTGGCATCTTCCCTCTTTTTATTCTGATTTTTTCCAACTTCCAAGAGTCTGCACCACACTAACACTAAATCAGTCTGTAAGCAAGCCGTCAAATCAAGCAGTTTAGAATGAGTAGATTTGGGAAACAGTTCATCTATATCTGTGAGAAATGAAACTTAAGCCTGAATGTCAAGAGTCACCCACAAATGAGAAGGACATCAGAATCATGTAGTGAGTTTCCTAAGTTTAATTAGATCACTTATTGGTCTGTCACTTCTATATGAATTGTTGGAATAGCTGGGAAAGTTGTTTAGTATTTCCCTGTTGAAAAAAGTAACATCCTAATAAAAAAAAAAAAACATTAATTTCCCTCCACCATCAATGGTGGGTCACTGTCTTAGCAAATTCAAAGGGGACTGAGTGGACTCAACTTGAAAAACATTATCTGTGTCTTTGGGCCTTGATAGCTGCAGGTAGCGGGAACGAGAAATCCTGCTTCTATGGTTCTATGTTTCAAGTACTCCTGGCTGGTCTTGCATATGCAGGGGTGCTGCATAGAAATCCATGGTCCCTGCATAGATGGCATTTTGTCTCTTTTGATATTGATAACCAGGAAAAAATTAATTTCTGAGAAAGGACTCTGGTCACTGAGGTGGTTGAGAGACTGGTCTTGGACCATCTACCAAAAACTCTGTGTTGGCTTGTGCCTGAATCTGTGAGCATGGTATCCAAGTGAGTGGGTAGGTACCAACTGGAAGGGAAGGATGCTCACAAATCATGTTCCAGAAACTCAAAACACATAAAGTGTTCTTTCTTGAATTATTTAAAAAGGTGATAACATGCTAGAAATACATTCCTTTCACTCTTTTCAAAATATTGCTATTTATTTGACTAGGGTTCCTATAGAAAAATACCTCAGATGTATAATCAATAATGTTTTTTTTCCCATTATAGAGGCTGCAACTATGCTTGAATGGTAGTGCCCTTTCCTGTGCATGAATATGAATCTATTTGCATTGTTTCACATGCAGCTATCCAGTGTGACTCAGATTATGTGTTGAAGATCCTTTGTCGAGTGTGTATGTTTGGTTTCTATGTAAAACAAAACAAAACCTGGGTATCTATAAGCATGTGAGATTATGTATGGGCCTTCAATTCAATTCCACTGATCAATGTGATCACTAATGCCATGCTGTTTTTATTACTACCTTTCTAATATAACTTGAAATCTGGGATGGTGACACCTCCAGCAATTCCTCTTACTATTCAGGATTGAGGATTGTTTTGACTATCCATTTTTTTGTTGTTGTGTTTCTCTCTCTCTCTCTCTCTCTCTCTCTCTCTCTCTCTCTCTCTCTCTCTCTCTCTCTCTGTGTGTGTGTGTGTGTGTGTGTGTGTGTGTGTGTTTCCATATAATCTTGAAGGTTGTTTTCTCAATTTCTGTGAAGAATTATGTTGGATTTTGATGAGGACAGTGTTCAATAAGTAGATTGCTTTTAGTAACTAGAATAAGAATATTAAATAGGGCAGGTTATGTTAAGATCTTGTGAAAAGCCATATAGAAATCTACTATAGAAGCTTCCTAAAATGTACACATATATGAAGGAATTTAAATGAAGTCATTATATAATGGGGGAGATAATTCCCCAATTGGCCATCTTATACCACCAAGTTCAAACCCTTAGTGCCAGGAATGGGTTCTATTTTGTAGAACTATTGGCCAAAGGGGTCCCATAAATCTGCCCCCCACCCTCAAACATCATAGGCTATTACCAAGGATATTGGTAATTCTCCATAGCCTGAGTGAAACACCCTATTGCTGAAGACAAAACTTATGTCATTAAACATGGAAATATTGATCTGGTGACCAGGTAGAAGTTTTACCCCCTACTGACTAGCATTTATGGTGATGGAAGATATACTTTGCATGCTACTGGAAGAGGAATGTAATAATCAATCTTATACAATTACAAGCCATGTGACCTACAACAGTGACCTGCCTGCAGGATATACTGTTATAATTAGTGGCACAAATGTTATGGGGCTAAACAACCACTTTTAAAAATTGGATTTGAGGTTGACATCATTAGATGGAACCTATACACAACAATGATAATATGGCCAAGAAGTTGAAATATTAGAAAAATGAAACTAGGGTTTTATGTATAGACATCAGTGTATTTGGAATTTTACATACTTTTAAATATGTAAAAAATCACTTAATGGTAGTTAAAGAAGTTTTGTTGTGAAAATAAACTTTTATTCTGATGCCTGGGAATCATTTTTCTTTTTTCCATATCTTGTGTGTGTGTGTGTGTGTGTGTGTGTGTGTGTGTGCGCGCGCGCGCAGCGCGCAGCGCGCAGCGCGCGCTCGCGCATGTGTGTATTCAATTGAAAATGATATGTTATTAGTTGTAATAGGCATGGATAATTAAGGGAACTAAGACATAGGAAAAATTAAACAATTTGGAACATTCTTAAAATATTTCATGGGACTGGTAGATTTAGAAGTCGCAAATGTCAATTTCTGATTTGTGAGTGTTTTGCTTCATTGCACGTGGCTATTCTTTTATCTCCTCTGTGCTTTCCCTCATTAATCAGTTTTACTTTTCTTTCAGGATGTTCTAAATCACTTGGGATCCTGTGAGCTGGATGAAGATGATCTAATGCTTGATTTAGAATTTTTAGAGGAACAGAATCTTCAACCCCCAGGTAAGGGCTGAATAAATGCCTACCGTAATATGACCCCAATAAATGCCTACAAGAATATGACTCCAATTTTATCCAATTAGCTTTAAGTGCAGCTTTCCCTGTAAGCCAGACACTGTTTAGAGCATGGCCAGTCTTTTCTTTCTCCTTTTATCATCTGTGTACAAGGAACAAGCTAAGTGCTCTGCATACTTGAGCTTCTTGTCCTTGATGACTTTAGAGTCAGTTGTGGAAACATGAATCCAGCTAGAAGCAATTGTAAAATAAAACTGCACACAAAAATCTTTTTAAAAGGAGATAAGTTCCAATTAAATACTGACTAATTGAAAACATTAATATCTAACGCAGTGGCTACCATTCCATTTTTCATGGTTTACTTTTAAATGAATATAAGTGTGGTGAACTAGATTTGTTATTCAAAATTTTAGTCACATCCCTAACAACATACATTAATGCTGATCTTGAGAGCTTATAGTGACAAATAACAACTATAGACATACCCTCAAACACACATTTACAGTTATGATGAGTAAGAAGTAAATTCATCTTATACAAGCTAAGAAAACCCATCCACCTCATTTGTAATAGTTTGAAATTATATTAAATATTAAATAGTATATCTCTAAACTCAAAAATTACTTCATTCCAAGTACTTTATATGCCTTAATTGTATTCAGATTTAGGAACTTGATAGCAAAGATTATTTTATTTTACTTTTAATGATACCTCTTACATTATTACTTGTACATTAAAGGTCAACAATGTTAAGGTAAGCTTTAAAGTCTTGAGTCTGCTAGCTCATTTAGAGGATATTGACCTTGTAGCTCTTGGTGTTCCTACTTCTAAATTGTGTGAATTCTATTCTTGTACTAATTCTCAGCCCTATTTTGAGATGTTTGGTTCAGGCCACATATTCATACCCAGCTAATATATTGTAAATTTGTACCCTATTTTAGTTTGCCATTGTATATCAATTTGAGATTAAAATTTTTCAGAATATTCTGCCTGCAGTTTCACAGCTATCCTTTCAAAATGTAGATTTATTAGTTTTTATGAAGATAACTTCTAAAATTTGTCCTTCATGTATATTTATCCTAAGAGTTAGACATTAGGGAAACACAGTAAAAAGTGTTCCCCTTAGAAGGAGTCTTTTAAAAGACAATTAGTAATCATCTAGCAAACATTTGGGTTGCTGCAGGTAGATATGTAATATAGCATAACATATTTACCTGTAGACCAAACTATCTAATCTCTATTATCCAAACTTTTGAAACTAGCAAACTATAAAATAATACTGTATACATAATACTCATTTAGATGTCTACAGTAAAAAAGTGTTGAAAATGCTTCAAATGTCTCTCAGAAAGGCTCTTATTTAATATCTAATATACAAAAAGCATAACTACAAGCAATAAAGAAAGCGTTCATATTTACTATTGTATAGTTACGGTGTAAATTGTTAACAGTGGATGGTACAGAGGTGGATTAGATGGTATACCTAAACCCTAGATCAATCCCTAACATTAGCGTACATAACAAGAGGACAGTCTGTCCCTTTGATGAAATTCTGAGAGAAGTATAGTGCCATCCCTGAAACATTCATTTTCTGTCTCCTCTCATAATCTTATCCAGCACATACTTATGAGATACCTATGAGATAATGAGAGGAATTTCTATTTCTAGTTTTTAAACTCTGTGTGGTAAAGTGGGTCTCCTAATTTTAAATAAATTTCTTTTTCTGTAATGGGAGATTATATAAATAAACTTTACTAATTTTGGAGTTCTTGAAATAAGTTTGAACAATGAATTTTATCAGAAGTATTGGAATGAGAAGAAAGTAAGTGCTAAGTGACAAGGTAAGATTGCCAATAGGCAGCTGAGGATAAGGCAAGGAGAATTCTACAGGATACATGGTTAGGTTTCTTCTGTCAGTGGTCAGGACGGTGGAAGGGCAAAGGTGACAATTGTAGTTGAAAACAGCTAAATGAAATGTGACACCCTCATAGGAGCATTTACTTAAAAATATGTATACTCTGTAAAAAGTTAGGATTTTGAATGTTTTTGTTACGAATAAATGATGAATATTACAGAGATAAGTTTAACTCAGTTTATGTACAGTGTTTGTGTTCTTATATATCACTTAAATGTTTAAAAACTGAAAAATCATTCTGAGTTAATGAGCGAGAAGAGGATTTAAGAGTCTTACAGAATTAGAGTTCGTTTTGTTGAATTTTATAATAACGGTGTTTAGTTTGAATTTTACATAATACTTTGTAGAGAGGTTTGTGGTTGCATGATTATATCTCTTATTTGGTTGATTTACAAGTATGGAGAAGGGAACAGATTAAGTTGATAAATTGTGTAAAATGATCAAAACTGGGAAATGAGTACCTTGACTGAGGTAGTCATGGAATTATAGGGATTTGAGATTAAAACTTCCCAAATCATATTCTCATCTCTATTTTGTGTTTATTGGGATATTTATGAAATAATTCAATGTAGAGATGACATGACAAGACCAGTTCTGTTTGGGGCCAGTCATGGTGAAGAACAGTTATGCTTGACAGATAGCAATAATGAAGAGCAAACGACTTGAAATCTAAACAAAGATGTAGCTCCATGTGTCTGCTCTGAGAAAACATTAACCTTTAAAATTTTTTTCTATATAAAGTATTACAGCCACTATTCACTTTATTTAAGGGAATAAAAGTGATTTGTTATTTTTCTGACTCACTGCACAGAAGGTATAATTGAGAGTGAGATGCTAAGCCGGTTACCTGTCACCTCATCCTCTAAAACAAATTGTTGCTTAGACGTGATCTTTGGGCAACTGTAAGGTATCTCTTCTCTAAATAGATGTTATAAAAGGGCTAGTATATAGGACAATATATATCCAGATAATTTAGATTTGTGTCTATAATTCATCATCTTTAGCTGTTAGTCCCTTTACATTTATGCCAGCCACTCATCAGTCTTTACTGTGGCAGGATGTGATGGGTAAAGTCATTGGAGCAGCAACACTGATCCAATGAAGAGGGAAGGATGATAGAGCACACATGGATCTTAGAACCATGTTGATGGGGTTACATTGATGCTTACTATGGTCTCTGGGAAGGAAAAATGGGAAGACATTGATCAGGTATAAGATGAACAAATTATGGGTATCTTAGTTCAAAAATGTTAATAATAGAAGCATTAAAGATTATGATTGTGATAAATGTAAATATATATATATCAAACATCACATTCTGTATTTTTAATATAATCTACTCTTGTCATATTATGTCATATTACTTTCAAATTATATATTTTAAAATAAAAATGAAAGTAGCTTAAAGATTAGGTTGATAAATTGGTCTAAATCCACATTATAGAAAAGCATTCAGCAAAAACTGGACTATCAGGATGAGAACATAGACTCATTGTTGGAGAACTATGCTGCATGAAAAATGATGTTGAAAATAACACAAGTTCCCATTAGTGTAAACTATGTGAATTTCACAGAAAACAGAAAAACAAACCCCCACACATCATTGTCTAGGGCTGACAGGAAGAAACTGTAAGGAGCCAGTGATGATAAGGAAGCTTGGGAGCTACTGAATATATTCCTTGTCTTGCTTTTGGTATTGATTTCATGTCACATTGCGTAAAAATCATACACTTTAAAATATATGGCTTATTACAGAGCAGTATGTCTTAATGAGTTGGTTTAACATGTAAGTAAGTTTGTGGAAAGGAAACTGAAGGCTCATAGTGAGCCAGAACTTTATCAAAGCCACATCAAATTAACCTTAAAAAGTTTTAAAGAATATTGCGTCTTTAGGATGCATCCCAGAAAAACTAAAAGTTAGAATAAAAGTAATAGGGATTATAACTCAGAAGCTTACTTTAAAATACACATGCACCAACATGACCATACAAACATACAAAAACAAAACAAGACAAAACAACCCAAAGAAGCTCCACTTAAAAATGTATATAGTTTAGGAAAATTTCTGATACAAATATTGATAATACTTCACCTAAAAGTCATAGGTTATTGAACAAATATCCCAGTGCTAGGGAAGAGAAACCTCCCACTTCCAGTTGTTTATCAGGCAGAGGAGAAGAAGTTCAAGAGATTTCAAAAACAGTATAGACCACTGCTATTGCCCTTGGTTTCCTTCTAGAGCCTGAAGATAAGACCATATTGCTGAGGTTACCACACACTTTGGACATAGAATTTGAAGAAATTGAGCGGGTACAGAATTGCAAGTCTCTTTTCTGAGCAGCTTCTATAGCATCAGGCAATGCCATGTAAGCAGCCAGGGGAGAAAGGTAATCAGTAGTCTTACATAGCTGTTAAATCTGTGAACCACAACAATGACCAGCCCAACAATATATTCTCTATGCAATAGTGTCACGTAAATCTTTGGGTAACCAAAAACTACGTGATTGGACTTAAGGTAAACTTGATAGGAGGGAATTCATATCTGCTACTATAAACCTAGCCAACTGTTCATAGGTGGAGAAATCATAGAGCACAGAGAAACGATTAGTACCATTTACCTAAATCAAAATAGCATCTCATGGCTTTCTAAATATATATCTTTATACTCAAAGATAAGTTTAACTCTTAGCTGGCATCAAAGATAAGTCTTCTGTAACAGATGGAAACTTATTACAGAAATCAGCAACTGCTTAAAGTGCAGACAGTAAGAGACTGAGTAGCTCAGCCCCAACACAACCACAACTAAGGTTCAGGGAAAGTCATGGAAAAGGAGGCAGGAAGATTGTAGTTTCCTGAGGACCAAGATGCCTGATGTAAGACAGTGTCTTTCAGATGTGACAGGAAAGCTGAACTCATGAAATCTCAACAATATAGTTGTTTAAACAAAACCTGCATAATGATCACACCAGTTGACATACCAATGTGGACAGGAAAATTTTCGCAAGGCCCCACCTCTTGATGAAGAGCTACAAACAATGAATGGTTGCTAAGAGAGGAACAATTCGTTTTCTCC